ATACAGAAATGTTTTACGTTCTATCCGAAGGAACATTTGGAAATGTAGTACTGGCTCATAGACCGACTGATGATTCTCTTGTTGTCATCAAGAGATATGATCTACCTGTGGATGGAACTAAATTGTCAACCATTAGTGAAATATGTTTCCTAAACCAATTAAAACACGAAAATATTGTTAGAACTTTGGATATCTGTGTTCAAATTGGTAGAATTTTAACGCATTACTTATTATTTTAGATGGCGGCCTAAATTCGAAGATTGAAATTGTGTTAGAACTCTGTCTTTGTAATCTAAACGAATTTATTTTTAACGCGAATTATACTGAAAATCATAGAAAAGTAATTATCACACAAATTTGTAGAGGTCTTTCATACATTCACAGGTGAGCGTAACGTTAAACTACTTGACTAACATTTCGTTCTCAATCATTCCTCAATTTGATAAAGATGTTGTATCATTACAATTTTAGTTGTGGAATCATTCACCGTGACTTGAAACCGTCAAATATTTTGATAGGCCCTGATGGAAATATTAAAATTGCTGATTTTGGATCAACTCAATTATTACGGAGGAATGCAAATTTGCCTTATACGCCATATATTGGTACACATGGATACCAGGCTCCGGAAATTTTTTTGGGATCTGTAACATATGACGAATCAGTGGACATTTTCTCATTGGGTGTCATCATCGTAACTTTGTATACCAAAATGGAAATATTCATGGCAAGCATAAATATCGTCTTTTAAACCATATTTTTCAGCATTTGGCAACAGTTTTAGTATAACCTTACTACGATCATGTAGAATAACGATGTTTTCAGATACATAAGAGAGATCCTGCACTACCAGTTTCATTTATTATTTATTATGCTCTATTTTTACTCTATCTGTGTCTTTCCATCCAGACATACTCTTATTTAGTCAATATCGTAAACTAATTCATTTTTACTTCCATAGTATCAAATCTCTGCTAAGGTATACGGTGCCTCATCGTTTCCTCATATATTTAGCTATGCAGCGTAAAACATGAGTTTCGTCGATGGTACTGACAAATAAGAACTTTTCAATTATTCCCACAAAATGGCCAAACATTTACTGTATCTCCTTTGTTTGTAGACTAGAGTCCCTGCGAGCGTTATTTTCGCTTTTTTGCTATACATGGGAAGACCTACAAACCAAATAGCTCCTGGAATTGAAGATCTACCTGATTACGCATGTACTTTTGGTGTTCTAAACCGTACTACTATACCCATTTTGGATGGGTTTTGCCAGCTCAATCATGTTCCTCTCGGTGCAAGGTTCTTAATTTTATCAAGTGTTAATTACAATCCAGCAGAGAGACCCAGTGCTGAAGATATTCTAAACAGCCCATACTTGCAAGTGGATCCAGCTTTACTCCCACAGCTAGATTTTATACCCCTCGTTCCATTATAAGATTGCTATGAACCTACTTTTCCGTGCTTTTTTTATTTATAGTAATAAACTAATTCAATTGCAAGGGATTGATTTAGATGCACCGATTCAAAGTCTAATACTTGTGAACGCCATTCATTTGTTAAATAAATGCATGAAATATCACTCTGCCTGTTGTAATTTGTGCTCAATGTCGAATTGTCACGAGAGTATTTGTTGGCACCAATATTGACGAATTAATAATGAACAAGTGAATTTCCCAATAATTCTATTTGTTAATAATGAGACTTTAATGTGATTAATTTTGTTGTGAACTAATACATGAAGAAATGTATCAACTGTGCACCATTTTACCCAGGAGAAAATGGAGGAAGTCGAAAGCAAGGGATATGAAAGACTGGTGCTTGACATGGTAAAATGCTCTGTTTACCAACTAAGCTTTCACTAAACTCAATCCGTTAAAGAGAGGAGTTTGGTACATCAACGAACAAGACGCCTTCCATTTAAATATCTGCAGAGATACGTTCTTTTCTGGTTATGCTGAATTTTTGTTGTTATGTTCCGAATGAATATGCAATCTGGTTCTTTGTATGATTGGGTAATGATTCCTCTTGCACGAACTGTATGTGTTCAAAAAGCTTTTTTAACCCTTAATTCATTTGGAAGATCATCTTATTATAAAATACTGTAGTTGATTCGCAGCATCATTTGTTCCTTGATTTGTCGTGTTTTT